ATATCCTGGCGGCGCGCTAGCGCATTGCGTATTTGCGAATTCCTGGCGGGCTGTTTGAGGGCGACCTGGCAGCGTCGGCCGAATGGCCCGCAAATACCGCGCGGCCGATCGCGCGCCCCATGCGGTCACGTCGACCGCCGTGTGCCGCGACGGCCGCGCGCCCCGGACCGCGCCATTGCCGCGTTGGATTGGACGGCGCAGCGCCCGTCCTCCAAAAGCCGTCATATGCTATCGCGCCTGTCGAGCCAGCAGCAATCGCTCCCAGAAGCAGCCTTGACAGGCGCCCCATGCCCGTTGTCGCCCGCTTCCGATCCAAATCATAGTTTCTTAGGATGCGCTTGCGCGAATGTGAGCGCGCGGGCAAGTAACGCGCGCGCGCTTGGCGCAGCCTGGGAAATCCAACATGGAGCCCCCCGGGGGCGCGGGGCGCCGGCGACGCCTCCGCCCGCGTCCCGCGCGGCCTCCTCCTAGGCGAAGCGGAGGCCGAGAACGCTGGCGCGCGCCGGTGCGCAGGCACGGAGCAGGCAGGAGCGGGCCGCCCGGCGACGTCGCGAGGCGGCCGCCCAGACTCTCCCGCCGGCGGGCCGCGCGCGGCTGCGGCAGACGTCAGTGAGTTTGGCGACCGCCACCCGCTACCGCCACCTCGACAGCCGCCTGCTCCAGCTCTGGAGAGAGCTTCGGGCGGCGGCCGCGCCCCGGGAGCCGGTGGACCACGAGGACGACGACCTGCTGACGAACTGGGTAGACAGCGAGCTCCCGAGCGAACTCGCCTAGTGCGGGAGGGCCATGATGGATGCGAACAAGTTTTGGAGCCCAGTCTTCGCGAAGGGCGGCGGCCTGATCCTGCAGCAGGCGCGCAAAGCCCCGAGGGGCTGGCAACGCCGCGCGCCAGGCATCACCAGACGGCTGCTCCCGAGGGAGGCGGTCGCACTCCAGGGGGCGACCCTGATGAGGCGGGGGTGTTGAGCCGCCTCAGCCTACGTCATGCTGGCCTTCCACCTGTACCTGCAGCTTTCGGAGGGCCTGGGCCCGCTCCTGTGCCAGGAGCCCGTGCTGCGCCTTCTGAAGCAGAGCGCTGGCCCCAAGGTGCTGCTCTTCGAGTTCGGCCAGGTCACGGTCGCGCGGAGGGTCCAAGACGCCGCGGCTGCGGGTGCTCAGCGAGGAGCTCTGCGAGCTCCGCCGCTTCCAGCCGACGCGCGACGTGGCGCTGGTACCTCGCACATTGGCGAAGGTCAAGCTGCGCGGCCGCTGGGAGAGCGGCCTGCCCGCCCGCCGCGGCCAGGCGGAGGGGCGCGTCGGGCAGCAGCTGAGACGCTTGCAGCCCGAGGCGCTCGCAGCAGCGATGGCGGCGCCGAGCCAGCCCGCCAGTCTCATCGCGATGCCACGCGCAGACTGCTAGCCCCGTGGCGCAGACAGCGCATTCAGCCGCAGGTGTTTCTGGAACTGTTCAGTGGCTGCGGCCGCCTCTCGGACGCGATGAAGGCCGAAGGGCATCTGGCGCTGTCCTGGGATCTCCTCAACGGGCCAGAGTGGGACCTCACATCGAAGGCAAACCAACGCCTCGTGCGAGGATGGGTCCGCGCTGGTCTGGTGTGGGGGGCGCACATGGGCACGCCGTGCAGCAGCTGGACGGTCGCCCGCGACCGAGGGCCCCTGCGCGACCCCGCCTGCCCCAAGCCGGACATGCCCTCGCGCTTGCGCAGCCGCGAGACACCTCATGGTGCCTGCCAGAGCTGAAGCACCCTGCAGACATCGCTCAGGTAAAGATCGGCAACTCGCTCGCCGCCTTCTCCGCCAGCTTGCTGGAGCTGATGCATCGCTGCAAGCTGCCAGTCACCATCGAGAACCCCGAGAGTTCGCGCCTTTGGTTGCTGCCGCGCTTGGGGCGCGTCGAGAGCTGGCCCACAGCGTCGAAGGCGACGGCCCACTACTGTCAGTTCGGAGAGCGCTAGAAGCCCACCCGCTTCCTCGGCGACTACCTTGATATCGGCAACCTAGGCAGGCAATGTTCTGGGCCCGTATGCTGTGCGACAGGCCAGCCGCACGTCTCTTTGCACGGGCCGCTTCCAGGAGCAGGATGGCGCACGAAGCTGACAGAAAAAGTACCCACTGTCTCGATGCCGCGCCCTGGTCAAAGCTTTTTCAGTAGCACAGTGACAAAAGTTCGTGAATGTGTTGACCCTTTCTTTCATAGTAAATGCAGCTCAGCCGTGTAAAGACCTACCCACCCACCACTGAGATGACCTTCGGCACCGCTGGGAGCGCCTTCGGCGGGCGTGGGGAGACCTCGAGGCCCTCGGCACCTGGCACTAGCGGCACGCCTCTCAGCGGGCCGTGCGTCCGAGTGTGCAGTATGCCTGGCGCGTTTGGAGCGGTAAAGCCGTCCCCTAGCTGTGGGGGCACAAAGTCATGAGGCATGGTCGGAGCTTGCGTGTGAATGCAGAATCGCTGGAGACAGAGCAGCCGCCATTCAATTGTTTGCACTTCTTTTCCGTACTATAGCCGTCCCGGCTCAGGGACCCACCCGCCCACCCTTGGGAGACCTCGAGGCCCTCGGCACCTGGCACTAGTGGCGCGCTTCTCAGCGGGTCGTGCGTCCGAGTGTACAGTATGCCTGGCGCGTTTCGAGCGGTAAAGCCATCCCCTGGCTGTGGGGGGCACAAAGTGATGAGGCATATGCATGCATACATACATATATACATACATACCTAAACACCAACGTACATACACATCTACATACACGCATGCATGCATGCATACATACATGCATACGTGCATACAAACATACATACACGGACGCACACCACTATATGTTTGTATGCATGTATGTATGTACGTATGCATGCATGCATGCATGACTGTGTGTATGTGTGTATGTATGTGTGTAGGTATGTATGTGTGTATATATATGTAATGTATGCACTGTATGTATGCATGTGCATATGTATGTTCGTATGTATGTATGTATGTACGTATGTACGTATGTATGTATGTATGTATGTATGTATGTATGTATGTATGTATGTATGTATGTACCTACGTACGTGCGTACGTATGTGTGCATGTATGCATGTATGCACGTATGTACAATTGTTCGGAGGTCCGCGCGGTTCTCATTTTGTGTCGGCGTCAGGCCCCCCCCCCCCCGGCGGCGCGCCAGGGGAGGGGTGTGCGGCGCCAGTCCCAGAGGAGCCGAAATCAAATGGTTATGCAGCTCCTGTTGCCGGCTTCGAGGCCAGTCCAGACCTCTTCTCGTTTGGACCAGATCACAGCGGGAGGTTCGCCCATTTTGGGGCTCTGGGGTTCTGCTGCCCATTATAAGCCTCCACCAGGTTCTGTTGCCCACTTTCGACCTCCAGGGACCCTCACTGGGCCCTTCGCCAATAAACGGCCTGGGTTGCGTAAGTGTTTCCAGGGATGGGGTCCAGCCTTCCGGGTCTTCGCTGTGAAATGGTCGCGATGGCGGAGGTCTGGGGAGGTCCCTGGTGGGGAGGATGAAGAGCAGGAGGAGGAGGAGGATTACTAAGGTCGCTATAGGCTTTAAGGGTACCTAAACTCATCTTTGAGGATTAAGCGGCCGTCGGAGAAATACTGGTGCCTGCGAACTTGCAGGAAAGTGATAATCCAGCATTTGGCCATTGTCGTTGTCGGCATCGAGATTGTCTGATTGCTCTATCCAATCGTTCGATGTGGTAGAAGTCTATGTTCTTACTCGCTTCCCCCGTGCTTTTTCGTACCCGTCATCCGATTCTCGGGAGAGTTGCAGCGACAGGAATCAAATACACGATACGGAGCATGAGGAGGATCAGGAGGAGGGCGAGGAAGAGGAAGGGGAGGGGTGGATGAGGACGGACAGATGATCAAGTGGCAGGAGAGGATGGGGTGAGTTGATTAAGGAAGGATGCAGGATCGGAGTTGGAGGATGGAAAGAGAGTGGCAGAAGCATGGAGGGGCTAGAGAAAGGGGGCAGGAATTAGTGAGGAGAGAGAGGGAGACGAGGGTGTGGAGGGGGGACATGCGCCGGTTAGGATGCAGAAGGACCGTCCAGAGTCACTGATTGCTTTCCCATGCGCGCTGCGCGCGCGACCGTGCCACAGCACAGCGCCTGAGATCCCCGACGAACAACTCGTGCGCTGTCTCGTCTGCAGTGGCTTCTCTCCTGCATTGCTTTACCCACCACTCCTCCGCTTCCGCCGTTTTCTTCCGCATCTTGATCACCCGTGTGCTCACTGAACCCTCGCCTCTCTTCCGTCAACTCGTGGCTTCTCTCCTGGGGTCCTCCACATTCCACCACCTCCCTCCGTTCTCCTCGTGCTCCTCCTTTGGGAGCTCTCAACTGCCCCTGTTGGGTATCTACACGAATTCTACCGTAGCCGAACGATTGATGAGGGAGGCGGGAGGATGGAGGGCGAAATGATGGCAGGGCGAGAGAAGGAGGAGGACGAGGAGGGAGGGTGGTGGCTGGAGGAAGACGGAGGGCGAATTGTATTAGGATAGAGGAGGATGAGAACGTTCAGGATATTCGCCCTCACGTAGTGACAAGGCTGAGCTCAGCACTTGAGGAACAGGTCACGACTCATCGGATCAAGATTTTTTGCGAAGGCCTGACGGCCGGTGCCGCCGACCCTAAAGAGGACCACGACGTCGGCGACGAAGTGGGCGGAGACGGAGGCCGTGGAAGATGATGATGAGCAGGAGGCGAGGAGGAGGGGGAGGAGGAGGAGGAGGGATGAGGATGAAGGAGGAGCGTGGAGATGGAGGTTGGAGCAGGAGGGGCACATGCCCGACCTAAATGCAGCCCAGTTCTGCGCACCTTCCCATCTGATCCGATTTCGCGATTCGATGTTGGTTACTACTCTTGCAGTAGGGCGAGGAGGAGGAGGATGTTGGTTACTCCTGCAGGAGGAGGAGGAGGAGGAGGAGGAGGAGGCGGCGAAAACGAAGGAGGATGAGGCATGACTGAGGAGGGTGTTGAGCACCAGGATGACGCGCCCTGCCAGGTTCGGGGCAACTGCGACTGCCGTCTGAGTCTGGTCAAGCGCGGCCGCGGTGTGAATTCGGCGCACAGTTCTGCGCATTGTCTGTCCCTACTCACCCCTGCCATCTGTCTCTGTCTGGCAGCTTGCAATACAGCATTGGCGTACTGTTGTTTTCGCTAGACGCGCTTCCACTTGAAAACCCAAGGCCCCTCGTGATCGAAGATGTCTCTGGCGAGTCCCCGCGTCACCCTGCCCTTGTGGATGGCACTGGTGGCCGACAGTCGATGAAATACTCGCTTGCCTTGGATTGAATGCTGGTGTTTTTAGGTGTCGTCGGGCTGACCTGGGGAGAACAGGGGTCAGTCTGAAATGACTCCATCGATGTTTCAAAGTTGCTCTGAATCGGCTCCTTCATGTCCTCTTTGCTTGTCGTGTGGCTCTTCTGCGCTTGTGCTTGGGCCATATTTGGGCTCCAGGGCTCCCGAACAAGATCTTGAGCGTCTGCGAAGTGCGCTCTGCTATGCTTTTTGACGTGCGACGGGTGCAGTGCTCCTGGTCGGTCGCCAGTCGTGTACGCGAGGGTTTTCTTTTATTATCTTGCACCGTTGTTTTCTGTAGGTCGGAGCCCTCAGTTTCGTGCCTCGTCGTCCGCCCGCCTCCCCTGGCCTCCCCCATGGCCTTCCTGGCGGGTCCTCTCTCCCCTGGCCGTCGCCACTCCCCTGTCGGACATCTCTTCCTTCTCGCGGGCTCGTGGTCCGTCGTCCGCTCCCCCCCCCCGTCTCCCCCGCCGCCCTCGCAGCCCCCCTCCCCCTGGGCCCCGGCCCTCCTGGCGGCTCCTCCCTTGTGGTCGTCGCGCTGTCCTAGGCGGAGGGAAAGAGTCGGGGCGGATAGGGGCTCGCTGGCCGGCAGGGGGGGGGGATGCGGAGGGGGCGCGCGGGGCGGGGTGGGCGGTGCCGTGCCGAATTGAAGAGGTCGGGGCGGAGGGGGCGCGCCGGCTGGGGGCGCGGCCGGGGCGCGTGGGTCGAGGGGGGGGGTGCGAGCGAAGGGGGTCTGGGCGGAGGGGGCGCGCTGGCTCGTGGATGGGGCGATGTAGGTGGGAGTCCTTATTCGCCGCCTCCCCGGTCCTGTCCCTCGCCGCTCTCTCGGGCAAGAGCCGGGGCACAAGTGCCAGCTGCTAAGGAGGAGCAGTGGTAGACCCGTCCCCGAAAGGGAATACTGGGGGCCGGAAGAGGAAGCGCTCTAGACCATCGTGGCTCAAGAGACGGGGGTCAGTGCAAACGGGGTCAGCCACCAGAGCGCCCGATCTTGCAGGATCTTGCAGAGCCAAGGTCGAACCGACCCGGGTTTGGGTGCAGGATCCTGCAGGATCCTGCAGGATCTTTCGCGCTGACCCGGGTTTGGGTGCAGGATCGTGCAGGATTTTGCAAGGCTGGATTGACCCGGGTCTGGATTGACCCGGGTCAGAGGCTCCCCGAGACTACCTCTGCAGAGAGGGCTTTGGTGGGATCTGCAGTGGTGGGTGCCCTTCAGCAGCATCTTTGTCTCCCCTGCGAGAGGGGCGCCAGGCCGCTCTGCGTCTGGCAGGGGTGGACCTGAACGGTGTTTTGGGGGGCGATTTCGTGGGGCCGTTCTCGTTTCGATTCGATTTGCGCGAAAGGCGGATTGAAGGCAAAACGAGGGAAAGCGAAACAATACGAAAGCGAAAAACGCGGTTCAGGTTCATCCCTGCGCGTCTGCGCCCACTGGGACCAGTGGGGCTCCCTGTGGGGCCACGGTCACTGTGCGAGGGCGTGTCGGGGTGGGCCTGAGGACGCCATGCGTTTGCGCCTACCGAGACTGTGAGCACCCTGTGGGGGCCACGGTCCTCGCGCGAGGCGTGCCGGACTCGGCGCGGGGGTGCCGTTCGTTTGCACCCGCGGAGGCTTCGGGTGGAGCTCTGTACCCAGACACCCCCGAGTCGTGAAAGAATCACGACGCGAGGTGTTTTGTTTTTTTCGGCCTCCGGGGGCCCTGACCGGCCCTCAGGGCCGTCAAAAAAGGATTCGGGATGAAAAGCCGGTCCCGGGGAAGGGGTCGAGACCTCCAAGGGTCGACGTAATGAACAAATCATGACGTCGGGGGTCTGGGTGTGGGGCCAGGTTCTCGCGTGCCGCGTGTCGAAACGTGCACTGCGGCCCACTGAGACCGTGAGCACCCTGCGGGGCCGCGGTCCTCGTGCGAGGCGCCGTTCGCTTGCATCTCCTCCTCCTCCTCCTCCTCCTCCTCCTCCTCCTCCTCCTCCTCCTCCTCCTCCTCCCTCTCCGGCGGAGCTCCGTGTGGGGGGCCAGGTCCTCGCGTGCCGAGGCGTGCGCTGTGGCGCCACGCGGCTGCGCCCGCCGAGGGACGGGGAGGGGCAGGAGGTTCGGCGGCGCGCCCTGGCCGCGGCAGCTGCAAGGGCGGGCATCCGGATCGGCATGCGTCGTTTGTGGGCCTGTTCTGGGAGGAGGGGAGGAGGAGGAGGGAGGAGGAGGAGGGAGGAGGAGGAGGAGGAGGAGGAGAAGGAGGGGGAGGGGGTCCTCCTCCCCCCCTCCCCCTCCTCCCCCTCCTCCTCCTCCTCGTCCTCCTCCTCCTCCTCCTCGTCCTCCTCCTCGTCCTCGCGGTGCGCCCTTGCCGCGGCAGCTGCAAGGGCGGGCATCCGGATCGGCATGCGTCGTTTGTCAAGCAGTGGCGAAGCGTCCCGGCTCGCCTATAGCCCCACCAGACAATTTTCTAAGAAGCTCTTGTGGTCCCCACGAAATGTTCGTAGGACATTTCTGGCTGGGGCTGTCTTGCTTTAACACATCGGGTTTATGTTCTAAGAACATTTGTTTTGCCCTCTTTTGGGGGTCTAAGAACACTTCGTGGTAGGACTATAGACATGCCAGGATGGTCGGTCCCTGCTCAAGTTTGTGGGCCTGTTTCTTCACCACCACCATAAGTAGGGGGAGGAGGGGGTCCTCCTCCCCCCTCCTCCCCCTCCTCCACCTCCTTCTCCTCCTCCTCCTCCTCCTCCTCCTCCTCTTCGTCCTCCTCCCCCTCCTCCACCTCCTTCTCCTCCTCCTCCTCCTCCTCCTCCTCCTCTTCGTCCTCCTCCTCGTCCTCGCGGTGAGACGGGGTTCCGCCTGCACCAAAGCACCTCCGTACGGGGTCATGGCTTCCTCTCCCTCTCCTTCTCCCTGCACGACTGTGTTTGGTCAAATGGTCCAAATGGTCCTCCTCCTCGTCCTCCACCTCCTTCCCCCCTCCAACTTATGGTGGTGGTGGTGGAAAACAGGCCCATCAGTCGTTCAGTAATTCCGAGGACGACTTAGTGAGCGTTTTTCCTTACCTAGGCTCTGCCTAGAAGGGTTCCTTTTCGGTAAGCTTAAAGGGCCGGGCAATTGGGCCCGCCCCGGGCGGTTCCCCCAGTATCCGCCCCGCGGTTCCCCCAGTTGCGCCCCCTGGGTTCACCCAGCTTAGCGTAGCTAAGCTCAGCTTAGCTTAGCTAAAGTTATCTCATCTCAGCGTAGCTTAGCTTAACGTTGCCTAGCCTAGCTTAGCTTAGCTTAGCTTAGCTTAGCGTATCTCAGCTTAGCTTAGCTTAGCTTAGCTTAGCTCAGTTTGGCTTAGCTAGGTTTAGCTTAGCTTAGCTTAGCTTGGCTTAACTTACCCTAGCCTAGCTTAGATTAGCTTAGCATATCATAATTTAGCTTAATTTAGCTTAGCGCAGCATAGCGCAGCGCAGCATTAGCACAGCATAGCATAGCATGGCATGGCCAAGCATAGCATAGCATAGCATAGCATATCACAGCTCAGCATAGCATAGCATAGCATATCATACCATACCATATCATATCATATATGTAGATGTAGATGCGAGTCTCGCTGTTGATGTTGATGTAGATGTAAATGCAGGTGATGCTTTCCTAATGCTCCAACTCCTAGGTAGGGTCGCACTGGGATAATTTGATTCATTATTTTTCCGATCGGCGCGGGCCCCAACCCCACCCCCCCCTCCGTGGAGTAGATCCTGTCAGTTTGTTGGCGCCTGCTTCGGGCAGGTGGAGCCTCCTCCAAAGGACGCGATGCTGCAAATAGTCGCACTGGGCAGCGGTTCGGAGCCAGACCCCCCCCCTCCCCCCTTTCCGCCCAGTGTCGAAGCACCGAATAGCAAAAAATGCTCACTTGTGTGCACCGTACCGTGCTGGCGTCTCCCCGGGCGTCGTCAGCCCTCCACCCAGAACTGGCACGGTGCACAGCGTCTCGGCCCTCGGGGCGGAGCAAGTATGCACCGTGCCGCGCCTGAGCCCCTGCAGGGGGTCCCCACATGTCAGGAGGCGTGTCCGCCGCCGAACACGGTGCAGTGCAGAGGCGCTGTGTCCATGCGGCGGCTCGGGGCCCCCCTGGACCGCTTTGGGGGCCCCGTGGAACCCTCTTGGCCCATCTTCGGACCTTCCTGGACACGAGGAACGCAAGCGAGGACATGTCCCGGAGCCCAGAGGGCACGCGGCAAGCCCGAGGAGAGTTCCGAATTCGGGGCCAAAGCCCCTCAAAAGACCCCTCAGGACTGAGGATTCAGGCTCCAGGGATTGGGCAAAGAACCTGAGGACACGCCACGCCTTGCCCAGGGGCACTGGCGAAGATCACCATCACCACCATCCATATTTTTTTTCACCGTCAACCATTTCCGTCACCATCCGTCATCCATCTCATCATCATGCAGTTTGGGGGGGCGTTTGGACCTGCAGGTTCGAACAGGACAGTTGGTCTGTTATGTATCGTATCCATGTTGCGCGTCTCCGTGTATGCCTGCATCCTCTGCTTGCGTTTGGACGCTTGTGTAAAGCAGCCGCATTGCTCGCATGCGCACATCTTGACACATGGCATGCGAGGAGAAAAGCGCCTCTCGCAAAGGGAACGGGTGAGACGGAGGGAGAGAGGAGAGAGTGAGAGAGAGAGAGAGAGAGCACAATAATAGCAAACATCTACGCTGCATTGCTCGTCGATGCCTAGCCGCGGTATGACCGAAGCAAGCCCGCGAGCCGTTGGACTCGCGAGCACCAGGCTCCTGCTGTCGGGGGCGGCTTCGAGGGGGGTGATGGCTAGGGGGGCTTGGCATCTTGGCCGTGGCCACGGCATCTCCCCAGGTCTCATGGCCCCCCCTCTCACTTCACTGCGTCCCC